GGAGGGAGGGAGGGAGGGAGGGAGGGAGGGAGGGAGGAAGGAGAGAGGAAGGAAGGGAGGGAAAGAGAAAGAAAGAAGGAAAGAAAGAAAAGCTTTTGTAATGTATATACTGCACATTGAGCACATTCTTCCTTGTGCCCTCTGTACCCTCTCCTTTCTCTCCCTTCTCTCTTCTCATTGGTCCTCCTTATAACCCCAGGCAGTTTGACTTTCACGATAGATGTATACACACAATCTAGGAGCCAAAATGCTAGCTAAGGTGCAGCATCTGTGTTTCTGAGACCACTTAACTCCCTTAGTGTGCTTACCTCCAGTTGCGCCATTTTCCTGAAAATGCCCTGACTCCATTCTTCACCCCTGGAGAGAACTGTTGAACCTTCACACCCCGTTTCCCTTTTCTGGTCCTCCATTTGAGACATCAAGGTTGGTTCCCTGACTCGCTGTTGTGAACGGAGCTGAATAATCACTGATGTGCAAGGATCTCTGTCACGCACCAACCTCGCGTCCTTGGAGCAAATACCCAGGAAGGCGTTAACTGAGTCACGTGGAAATTTTCGTAATTTGTTTAAAGACACCTATGTACTGAGTTTCACAGTTATTGACAGGTTTGCATTCCCACCAGCCAAGATTAGGGTTCATTTTCGTCCGCATCATCAACATTAGCCGTTTGTTCCCCCCCCTTCCCTCCCTCCCTTCCACCTCAAACCCCTCCCACACCCTTCCCACGGCTTTCAGGTTAATAGCCTCTTTTTTATTTTATTTTTTTGTTACACACATGCACGCACACACACACACTCACTAATATAAGTAAATACAGCCTGCTGGCCCTATTTGTGTGTGTGTGTGTGTGTGTGTGTGTGTGTGTGTGTGCGCTTTCAGGACTGACCCCTCGGAGCCCATCGTGGGACAGGTTAATTCTTCCTCTCCTGCAGAGATTAGTTACACACAGTTCTTTGTCTGGGGGTGGGGCCGTATGAAATGTCCACCTTCCATGTCGACATGTCTTCAATTCTCTATTTTAAGCAGTCCAGAGCACAGTCTCTGATACCCAGAATCCCCTTCCCAGGCGTCAGCCTGGCTTAGGTTGATGAGTCCAGAGCTCCACTTACTTGTTTACCCTGGCACGATCCTAGCCTCTAGGCAATCAGACCTTATCACGGCTGTGAGCAGGGTGGAGATTGAGACACATTCATGACTTACTTGGTTATTTGTTTGTTTCAGTGCTGAGAATGGAGTCTAGGGCCTCCTGCATGCTAGACAGTCTCTACTTTCTGACGCTAGCAAACATGGTCAGACAGGAAGTACTACCGTAACAACACACTACAGTGTGCACTTCCTTTTTTAAAGATTTATTTTATTTTAATTATATGTATGTCCATGTGGAACCTATCAAATCAACGTCTGGGTCCTTAGTAGTCCTTGTAACAACGCTTAGGTGACTCACATTTCTGAATTCATCTCCTTTTGTTAGGTGCAAATGTAATATAGATCAGCAAAATTCTCTCTCTCTGTCTCTCTGTCTGTCTGTCTCTGGCCTTGCCTCTGGGGCTGCCTCTGGGACACACTCTCTCCCCTCCCCTCCCCTTGTCATGTTTTACAGGCTGGGTTCAAACTCACTGTGTTGCCAAGGATGACTTTGAACCTGTCATCTTCCTGCCTCTGCCCTCCAAGCACGCATGTTTTACTTAGTGCTGGGGATTGAACCCGGGGCCTAAGGCATGCTAGGCAAGTACTCTACACACTAAGCTCCTTCCCAGCCCTTTGCTAATGATATGAAGTTTTAAATCATGATCATGGGGAGTGAGGGTGCACACATAAGTGCGGATGCCCTTGGAGGCCTGGGGCTGCAGTTTAACCTAATGTGGAGAATCAAACTCAGGTCCTCTGCAGGAGCAGAATGTGCTCTTAACCACTGGGCCATCTCTCCACACCTGCAAATATAATATAATTCCTCTTTTTCAGAATTTATTTCTCTGGTTCCCTCCTTCTTCTTCACTTTCCTTCTTCTCAGGCCAGCCTGGTGCTTGTTGTGTAGCTAAACCAACCTTGAATGCAATGCAATCTTCTGTCTCAGCCTTCCAAGTGCTGGCATCATAAGCACACTCCTCTGTGCCTGGTCCTTCTCTTGGCTTCTCACTATAATAGTCCTCATTGGGGAAGCTCTGTTAAACATCTGCAAAAGTAAGCTAAACATATTATTTTAGATCTTTAAAAAAATGTACATGAGTCAGGTGTTGGGGACACATGCCTTTAATTCCAGCACTTGGGAGGCAGAGGCAGCAAATCTCTGTGCATTTGAAGCCAGCCTGGTCTACAGAGCGAGCTCCAGGACAGCCAGGGTTACAGAGAGAACCTGTTTCAAAAATAATAAGTAAATAAATAGATAGATAGATAGATAGATAGATATAGATATTTTAAAAAATCTTGATGAAAAGGAGACATTACCCACCCCCACAACCCCTACCATATCATGTAGGCAAAAAGACGAAACCTCAGGGCTGGGAATAGACTGGAACAAAATGAAATATACACAACTCAATACCAGCATCACCCTCAGGCAACAAGGAGACTGACATGAAATGATCAAAATGAGGCTTGAGCTGTGACTCAGTTGGTAGGGTGCTTCAGGCAAACCCTGGGTTCAATCCCCTGGATGGCATAAAACTGGGCATGGTAATCCCAGCCCTCTGGATCCACTACTAAGCAAGTTCAAAGCCAGCCTGAACTACATGGAACCCCTACACAGGTCATTGAGAAGTCATTTTATTTTACCTGTTTACCAAACACACAGGGGTGCTAAAGACAGGACTTGACCGCACACGCTGGCCTCATTGTCATTTGTTGGCTCTCTGTGGGGCATTAGTCTCACCTCAGACACAGCTGCAGGCAAACCACTTCCCATTCAAGGAAACCCTCAAGGAGGGAGGGGTGGAGGCATGCGGGAGCATGCGCCCTGCTGCACTGCATCTCTGCTCATGGCTGCATCACAGTCACGTCTGTGCAGGAATCAAAATGACCCACCGAGAGGCAGACCCTTCCCCCTTCAGCACTGCGAGTTACAGCCCCTTTTTCTCTGTGGTCCACACGGCGCGTGGGGGCGGGGGAGAGGGGAGCAGTTTCTTCTCAGGTGTCCAAACTCCTCCCGTTTTCACAGAGGACTTGGGGAGAGGGTAAGGAAAGTACAGATGAGGTAGCTCTGTGTTGGAGAAAGCGTGCCTAGAATGCCCAAGGTGCTGGTTCCATCCCCCGTACACTGTCTGTCTGTTATATCACTCTCTGCCTCCCTAACCTGTCCCACCCAAGTCAAGAAGATCGCTTAAGGTGGTTTCTTTCTCTGCAGAAAAACCCAGAAGTCCTGGTATTCACAGACTTCTCTTCTAGCCTCTCTTTCTCTTCAATCACATAAGCAAATATTTCTTGATGACTGTGAGCCTTTTGAGGCGTCTGCTGCCACAGGAATCCAGGTGCGTGGGTTGGTGAGGTGACCTCTGCGATGACCTTACCGCCCATCTCCTTTGCTCTCCCCTCACACTCAGGACAATTCCCTGAGAGCCATTTCTAACTAGGGGACCACAGACGTGTTGTTCATCAGCAGCCTGTGCCTCAGTTCCCTTATAAGTAAGACAGGGCCCTTGATGACATCTCTGAATTTCCTTCCAGTCCTTTCTGCAGAATCTTGCCTCTGCTTTGCCTCAC